GGTGTGTGTGTGGTGGTGTGTGTGTGTGTGTGTGTGTGGTTGGCGTGTGTGTGTGTGGTTGGCGTGTGTGTGTGTGGTTGGCGTGTGTGTGTGTGGTGTGGCGTGTGTGTGTGTGTTGGCGTGTGTGTGTGTGGTTGGCGTGTGTGTGTGTGTGTGTGTGTGTGTGTGTGTGTGTGGTTGGTGTGTGTGTGTGTGTGTGTGTGTGTGTGGTTGGCGTGTGTGTGTGGTTGGCGTGTGTGTGTGGTTGGCGTGTGTATGTGTGTGGTTGATATATGTGTGTGTGTGTGGTTGATGTGTGTGTGTGTGTGTGTGTGTGTGTGTGGTTGATATATGTGTATGTGTGTGTGGTTGATATGTGTGTGTGTGTGTGTGGGTGTGTGGGGTTGGTGTGTGTGTTTGGTGTGTGTGTTTGGTGTGTGTGTTTGGTGTGTGGGGTTGGTGTGTGGGGTTGGTGTGTGGGGTTGGTGTGTGGGGTTGGTGTGTGGGGTTGGTGTGTGGGGTTGGTGTGTGGGGTTGGTGTGTGGGGTTGGTGTGTGGGGTTGGTGTGTGGGGTTGGTGTGTGGGGTTGGTGTGTGTGGTTGGTATGTGGTTGGTGTGTGTGCGCGTGTGTGGTTGGTGTGTGTGCGCGTGTGTGGTTGGTGTGTGTAGATTGATTTGAAAAGCAGGGTCCAAGAACTAATACCTCAATTGTGCAGACACAAATAGTAAAATACACACACAATTAAAATATTTCAATTTCAATACAGTCACACCTCGGCTTACGAATGCCCCTATTTACGAACTTTTCGGGTTACGAGCCCAATTTCTTCAGAAAATTCGAATGGGATAACGAGCTTTGCCTCGGGAAACGAAGTTTGTTGATACGCGTATGGCCGACCTAGCGTGTGGTGGCACGGCGATCAAGCCTCGGTATACCAGTGCCTCCCACCTAGTGACAATTGCGCCTGAATTCTTTGTAGTTTTTTCGGATTTTTGGGTATTTGAACATAAAAGTTGTTATTGTATATCTTGCCATGGATCCCAAGAAAGCCTGTGATAAGGTTCAAGCCAGGAAAACACATGTGAGAATGACCATAGAGGAAAAACAATACATCATTCGTAAACATGAGAATGGTATGAGGGGTTGTTGATGTAGAGTAGAGGATGTCCCTTCCTCAGGGCTAAAGAAAATGTGTGCAGTATGGGAAGAAACACAAAAGTTTTGTTGAAAAGTTGTCACTCAAATCAAGCTGTAGCAGACCATTGTGTTAACCTATTTAATAACAATGTGATGTTTCACTTCAGACAAATGTTACAATGTAAGGGAAAAACAAGTGTCACTATAAAGGTTTTTAGTGAGAAAAACAAGCAGTGAGCTACAAGCAGGTGTTAGTGGTATGCAGGCAAAACATACCAGAGAGTGTACCCCCCAGGAAGTCATCACTGCCTGATGTTATAATGGAAAGGAACTCCCCCTTCCAAATACTAACACCTCTCCTCCTCCTCACCGTCTTCCATACGCCAACAAGAGTCATCAGTAAAGGTAAGTAATATCTTGTACATACTTTAGTACTGAAGATTTGAGTGAATTAGGTATAAAATTTACTTTGAAGTTAATTTTTTGGGGAGTCTGGAACGGATTAATTCAATTTACATTATTTCTAATGGGGAAATTCACTTTAGGTTACGGATATTCGGCTTACGAGCCATCTCTGGGAACGGATTAAATTTGTAAGCTGAGGTACTACTGTATGGAGTTATTCTTCACCGCAAGGAAATTTACCCAATTACAAATCTACATTATTTGCATATCAACTAATTACTCAATTCTCTCCAGGTTCTTACTTCCCGCCTCAAGAAAACGACAGATGGGCTGAAGATAACAATGGTTATGGATCAAAATTTACCCAATGACAAATCTACATTATTTGCATATCAACAAGACAATGGTTATTGTCAAGAGAACCAATATTAGGAACACTTTCATAGTATTGGATGCAAATTAATAAAAAACTAATCATAAAATATTTTTGGTTTATTTGTTTTAAATTGTGTTTATTACTCACCAACTCGCTCTTTGATCCATCAAGCACTAATATAAGAAATTTAAGTAAGCAAATCTTAAATTTAGAAATTAACTGGACACAGAAAAACACTTTGATTTATTTAACAATTAAATGGCTATTTTACTGATTACGTGGAGCACAATGTCTGTGTATGGCCAGAGCACATGAAGAGTTTGCAAGAGAATGAGGGAATGGAAACGAATCTCACAAACGTGTCAACTTTAGAACCTAGTAAATGTGTGAATCATTCATTTATGCAACTGTGTGAAGTTGCACAAACTTGCAGCAGAAAGAGAAAAAGTGCTTCATAGTTCAAGTGAAAAAGAGTACTTGAAAAATAATAAAAGTTGATATGACTACAAAGTGAGTGACAAAAAAGCAAGAAAATGGGAGTACAGTATATGAAAATATTAGTCTAAAAAAATTAATAAGTTAGGATAATGGAACTATTCTCCCAAAAACACAAAATACTTTTGAAAAGGCATAAGGCAATGTAGCAAATAGACATGTGTAAACATGTACATTTAAATAAAGGTGAACAGGTGGGGTGAAAAACAAAAGGATTTAATAAGAAGGATATAATTATGGTGATAAAAATATCAACCAATGAAAGTACACAAACAATGGGTTCAAGTCAGTTTAGAAAAGAAATGGGCAAGCAGGTTGAGAAATGGTGTTGGAGATCTAAGCTACCAAGTAACAACGTAGGAGCAAACTCGCTGTAAAGTTTCAACCATTGGTTAGACAAATGCACAAGCGAGAGTGGTTGAAAATACAGTAATACTTCACTAAATCAATAAGTTTTCTGCAGATTCCATTATTTTTTTATCTTCATATGAAAACCACTCAGTGTCAAAGAGGAATATGGGGAAAACATTAACTGGGAAGGAAGGAACTATCAGGGGAAAGTGCCAAGCCATTACAGTATAACACTGGGAAGGTAGAAATATTATTTTTAAAATCCAATGGCCTCAAGGAAAGATAGAGGTGAAAATGTAAAAACAACTGGTTTAGCTGGCTGGTAAATGCAAGTAAGGAGCAGCAGAGGAATCAAGTTCAAACATCGACTAAGAATAGGTGAGAAAAATCTTCCACAGAAGGAACCAGAGACCAACAAGAGCTGAAGGGCACCCCAGGGACCCTCCTCGGCCCCATCCCCCACACCACTCCCAGATCCAAAAGTCACAAATGAAGACTGTGGAACAAAGCCATGTTCTATGTCTGATGCCTGATCAGACAGGAAAGCATCCCACCCAGACTAAATGTTCCGAGCCAAATACACCCGAGAAACTGAAAGCTATGGATCCCTGTCATGAAGCAACAGCTTGACTGTATCTGCTGCCAATGTGGTAGGCCAAGCTACACCCACAGCTAAACACTGCCCAGTCTCTGAAACCCTGACATTTCATAGCCTGGAACAAAGGGAAGAAAAAGCTGCCTGGAGAACCATGTCAGAAGGAACCAGGAAAGGAGGGGTGAACTTAGAGCAGGTGGAATTCATCAGATGCCACAAGATACCATAGGGCCAATTCTGGGGCATTCAACATAAGCACCAAGGTGCAAACAGTGTAAATGTAAACATGAACCCTAGAAGAACACTCAGCCAGAGAGAGACACTGAACACAAATGGTGCAGTCATCGGGAGGATAAACCCTTCATGCAAACCGCACCTACTATCAAGAAGAACATATATGTTGCAGACCTTGGGGTAGAAGGTACCACCAACCCAACAGGCAGCATGGTAAAGACAAAATGAGTGACCATCGGCATATAGCAAAATCAATGGACATCCCTCAAATTTGCAAGGAGCAAGTGCGGATTTGGTGGACTGATCCATAATGAACCACACCAAAGACCCACAGAGCCTCCCAGGGCCTAAAGTTAAGGACCAAGCAAGACACCCAGGTACAAGCGACGCTAGTCGGATGAACTGACACCGAATTGAGCACAAAGGAAAAAATACTGTTGAGAAGTGTGTCAGCTGGGAGCTGTACTCTACAGCTAGTGCAAACCCTAGTGACCCCTTAATCAGTAACCCCAGAATGCCTCCAATCTCAAGAGGAGTCAAAAACCCCTCCTGCAGTTCGCACAGGTATTAAGAAGTGCAGATAGTGCATCATAGTTATGCGACAGAAGATTACACACCAACCCACACATCTGAAAATAAAAATAGTGAATACGTTTTTGTCCATCCTGGACCAGTATCACTTGATTATGTCATCACTTCCTATACTTTCATCTGTGTGGGTTGGGATTAAAACAACAGAGACTGTTGGTATGTATGTAGATTAGTGTAAAGTTCTACATACAAGGAAAACTAATATGTAGATATTTACAAGAGGCAGGGATCTACAATTTCCTGACTAACAATCTATGAGAGCCTCGTATGACCATTCCCGAACCACCACCAGTCACCTTGCAAGGTTTGGCGAGGTTATTCCCAAGCATCTGATCTACTATCTCTTAACAGGTAAACAGACAGGCAGACATTTTCTTTATGGATATAGCAAGTAATCATCAATGAAGCTTCAAATAAGGGTACGAGAAAAAGGACATCCGCCGAGATATGAGGACGGTATCCGAGGACGGTATCAAAGGACAGTGGAGAAAATGGTGCCCAACCACTTGGGCCATCGAGAAGTTCTTTAAATGCCTGGTTCACATACATCTTAAATCATGCAATTTATTAAAGATGATTTTGTGAAGAGAAAGATGTGCTAATAGTCAGTCAAGGAACTTCAACTTGCACACTGTTGCATGTTGCACTGGACATATGAGCAAAATTAAGGGCAATGTCCTTTCCATTTCACATGGAAAAGGACATGCAGCAGATATAATAAAGACACTGTACATACATGGGTATATTTTTGTTACAAATAAAATAGTGCCATAAACAAGTCAATAATGATACTAAAAAACATTTTGCCAATTACAGGCAGATAAACTAGTACTTACCCTGCCAACATGGTGTAAAGCAGCACTCCTAAACTCCAGATGTCGCAAGCAGCATCGTACCCTTGTTTCTTCAAGACTTCAGGTGCGACAAAATTGGCAGTATAGCACGGAGTCATGAGAAGCCCATTCTCTGCACGAAGCTGTTTGGCAAACCCAAAATCACATATCCTCAGTGACTCTGGACTTCCTGAGATGTCGGCATACATAATATTTGAGGGCTTTAGGTCTCTGTGAACTACCTGCAAAAGTAAAAAACAAAACAAAAATTATTATATTACAATATAATGTATAGGTCAAAAATTATGAAAAGTTTTTACAATAGCAGTAGATGTGTTGGAGGAGAAGAGAGAGGAAAGCGAAGACGCCAAACAGACAAGTGTGCACGTTGAAACACCAAGTTGCATTTTAAAATCGGGATGTATCGGACAGACTTCTGGTATCGAAAATGTCACAAACCAAAATATTATCCTTGTCAAAACTTGATCGTAACTCGGCCAGCCATGATCACAGACTTCCAGTTCAGTATGTAATATATACTTTCTTTATCAAGTATCGTATTGTTATACTATTTAATTCAAAATAATTTTGATGTAGGGAACAAATCTGGTTGACCTCACTATTTGTCAGACCCACATGTACTAGTGCTGTATAATACTGTATCATAAAAGTTCTTCAAATATGACACACAAAACAAAATTAAATTATTTCAATTAAATTGACAATGGGTGTGGGCATGGCTCTTTAGATAGGAAACTCAAAGTTACTTAATTTGAAGACCTTCGTACACCAAAAACTGATGTTTTAGGGATGACTCTTCATAAACTAAACTACTCATAAATCAATGATCAGATGAGGAATGTTAATAGTTAACTGGAGAACATCGAATCTTACCCCATTTTGGTGCAAGTACTGGACGGCATTTGTTAGGGTGAGCAACACAGCCGAGGCTTCCCTCTCGGAGAAGAATTTCTGTCGTAGGATCTTGTCCAGCAGCTCCCCACCCCGCATAAGCTCCATCACCAGGTACACGTGTGATTCGTCTTCATAAACCTAGATTAACAAAAATAAAAAAATATTAAAGGTACATTATGTACTTACTGACTTTGATCTAAATGTTAAAGTACTTTGATAGACGTTGCTATTGTCTAAAGTGCTCAAGTGTTATACAGTATAGGCATAATTTCTTAAGTGCTTTTTCCTGATAATTACCTTACCTTATTATTTAGAGGCTGCAACACTGTAAAATGGACCATTTTTCCAAAAAGCTAGCAATTTAAAAGCTGCCACTGCCTAAAACCTCTCAATTCTAAGTACAGGAACAGTACTCTACGTTCACTTATGTCTAAAGGTTTGCATCTTGTTTATTCATTAGAATATTTAACAAGAACACAATATAAAGTACCTAATATTAATGAAATGGAGTAAATTACATGTAGTACATAATACAATTATGAAGGAAGAATGTTTCAAAGAATTCAAGTGTACAAGGAGGTAAACAGGGATAATATGAGAAGACATTTTGAGTAAGGAAACACAGTCTATATATATGCTGTATAATACAATCGCGCGCACACAAAAAAATTTAAGTCCCAACTTTTCACTCTGCCATAGACCCTTATCAAGAGTCCAGAATGCTCCAAATCATAAATTTAATTTTATTTCAAACAGGATTTATGTGTTATTTGTTTCACCCACATCATTGTGATGTATTCTTTGCATACTGTACATGTCAGTTTCTCCCCTTTCCATGCTGGATTTGTATGCGAGGTCAGAGCCTCAACCTGAGGTTCTGACCTCATTCCTGTGTGGTAGTAGTCTATCTAGTTAGGGAAAGCAGAGGGCTTTCTTCTCATGTTCCATCTTCCTGTACTGGCATGAGAGTGGGTTTTGCTCCTTAGCCCAGGTTTGAGACATGACCTTTTAATGTACAGTTGCAAGTAGTAGTCTGGCCTTGTGCTGTGGTAGAGGATCTATCATTATTTCCTTTTTATCCTTCTTAGGCTAATGTTTCAAGTCTGGATGGTTATCTTGAGGATATCTTGAGATGATTTCGGGGCTTTTTTTTTAGTGTCCCCGCGGCCCAGTCCTCGACCAGGCCTCCACCCCCAGGAAGCAGCCCGTGACAGCTGACTAACACCCAGGTACCTATTTTACTGCTAGGTAACAGGGGCATAGGGTGAAAGAAACTCTGCCCATTGTTTCTCACCGGCGCCTGGGATCAAACCCAGGATCACAAGTCCAGCGTGCTGTCCGCTCGGCCGACCGGCTCCCTTACTTATACTTATATCCACATCACAAAAATTCTGTATCCATCAGGTCAGTTTGAACATGATGCCTCTTCCTTCGGTCCTGAATGCAATTTGTTGAGCTGTTATGGCTGACATTCTTCTGGTGCTTTACAGGTTCTCCTGGTCTCGCTTTCCTGTGGTGCAGGCCAGGTTGGCCCTACTGTTCCTGTTGCAAGATGGGGGCTACATATTTGCACAGGACTTGGCTCATTTTCAGCTGGGTCTACACAAATTTTGTCATGGATCTTAAATGAAGGCATGCCGCATTGGGTAAGTTCCTTTACTTATGTTGAACTGACTCGCTCCTGAACTCCCATTTCCCTGCCCATCACTTTCTGGACAAGATGGTGTAATCAGTGTCAAGTTAAGAGCTGTTTTCGTATGTGTTCCAATTGGTGCCTGGTGCTGCTGCTTGTCAGTAGTGGGGTGTGCTTTTTCTTACTGTACACCAGCAGAGACTCAAAGGTACCTGTTTCTGTGCAGGTGCTGCTCTTGCTGCATCTTTTGGCTCAGTGTGGTTATACCCACTTTGGGTAAGGAGAGTTATGGTTTTTATTTGCCCTTTTGTCTGCCCTTCCCTGGAAGGCCAACCAAAACTCTTGCCATACTCACCAGGTTGGATGTTACAATATTAAGGAATCAATGTTAGGATTTTTCCACTTTCTCACTGGCAAGTTGCCCGACCACTTGGACTGGACGGTTGAGTGACAGTCTCGCTTCATGCGGGTCAGTGTTCGATATCCGACCGTCCAAGTGGTTGAGCACCATTCCTGCCCATATCCTATCCTAAATACTTATTCTCATCACTTCCAAGTGCTATAGTCACAATGGCTGTGTTTTCTCCTGATAATTACCTTACTTTCATTGGTGAGTCTATATCCCGGCTCCAGCCAACAAGACCAACCTTCCTTTCCCCTCATGGTTCGTGGAGACAGCCCACTATTACTAGCTTTCTCCTTGATAGCTCCACCTCTCATATCAGGTAATCTTGAGCCTTCCAGATAGGCTCAAACTCTGCCTACACAGTAAACCCCAAGGTACAGATCTAGCTATAAACTGGTTTCTCCATTCTTTTGCTCACTGATAATGCTGGGATTGCTGCTTGAAGGCTCCCTTTGCCTTGAGGAACCACTTCTTTTCTGTTGAGGTTTCTTAAGGCTAAGGCTTGGTCTCCAACTTTGTTGTGGTTGCTTATCAATGTGTGGAAAATTGTGGTAATTTGGGGTACTCTCCAGTTCATCTCACTTTTGAGGTCTGGAAAGATGAGGCTCTTTTCCGTTTCTCCTATTGTGGATTTGGACGCTGGCTATTGGTTCTCTTCTGGCATTTTGGAATTTAATTCTTACAGCAATTCACATTCAAGGGATGTCGAATGTGGTGAGAAACAGTTTCTCTCGGTTGATTCCAAATGGGATTAAGTACAAGATGAACAAAGTCGTTTTAGTGAATATGGGGGGCACGTTTGGCATCCTTCAAAGCGATCTTATTTGTTCTTTGGAATAGAGGCCCTTTCATGAGTCAGATTGGTTTGTCAGTCCTATAGTACTTAGTATAGACTAAGTGATTATAAAAATATATTAATATGGGCTTTAGAAAAAGAGTTGTAAACCCATTATTGTATCATTACACTAGAGGTCAAATAACACTGCATTTGAAACAAATGTATTGTATCACATATGAATAATGAACTGTATCGGTGGTTCTAGTGTCATGAATGACTTGAGATAAAGTACTGTACAGAGTTCGATCGTCGTTGTGTGATAACTATCTTTCTTTAATGCTAGAACCCTTGATACACACACACATACATACATTCATACAAACACATACATACAGTACCCCTATTTCCTATTTTCATGGGGTGGAGAGACATCAGTCTAGTGAAAACAGGTAAACAGTAAAAGTGTGTTATTTATAATAAATAAATATAACGTAACAATACGACCCTCTCGGTGGAAATGTTAAGGAACCACAAAACAGCATTGCAATGATAAACAAAAATAATAATATATACAATACTTACATCTCTTAAAGAAATAATATTTGAATAATGTCCATATCTGTATAGTATCTCAATTTCTTCTTGGCAGTCCCGAGTCTTCTTCGATATAATTTTAACAGCATATTCTTGTCTAGTTGCTCGGTGAACACAACGTCGACAAATACTATAGCTGCCTCTTCCCAACTCTTCAGAAATTTCATACTCGTCGTGTATACTATTAGATTTTACTCCTGATAATCTCTGAAAAATGAAGAGATATTAACCAAATAAACTTTTAAATAATTGGAAAGAGGCTGAAAATTGATTTAAAGATTTAGTTAGAAAATTTAAAATAAAAAAATATTTTTTGGCAGGTGGCACATTTTAAAATCTGCCACCAACATGACTGCCATCTGTGAGACCAACATGACTGTCACCTGTGAGACCAACATGACTGCCACCTGTGAGACCAACATGACTGCCACCTGTGAGACCAACATGACTGCCACCTGTGAGACCAACATGACTGCCATCTGTGAGACCAACATGACTGCCACCTGTGAGACCAACATGACTGCCACCTGTGAGACCAACATGACTGCCACCTGTGAGACCAACATGACTGCCACCTGTGAGACCAACATGACTGCCACCTGTGAGACCAACATGACTGCCACCTGTGAGACCAACATGACTGCCACCTATGAGAGGATGGACTTTTCCAAGCTTCTGCCCTTCAACAGACACAAACAGGTCATGCAAGGCTGCACAGAGTGCCAATAATTATGCAGAGGCCTGTGATATTGGGTATTCAGTGGTTCCCCTTACCTTATGTAGTGTGGTGGGATCATTTACCTCACAGCCGTAGACTTACACAGAAGGAAATAGTTTTTCCAAGGAGTGTCTGGGAGAAAGAGTTGGAATGCTACATTGTGGTATGGGAAGTGAATTTGGTACTACACTCCTCGACCTAACTGCCGGACCTCAATCTTTCATTTATTCCATCTATTCATTTACTGTCCGGTCCCAAGCAGTGTCTTAACTCATGAGAGGCCTATGCCTATGTAGTTTCACACAGCCGACTACCGTGTCACTGTGGCGCGACCTTTGCACCTGCTCGATGAACCGGTATTGTTTTTGTGGCCGCCCGTGGCATACAAAGACTTCTCCCCTCTTACAGTACCATTTTATATCTGTGCATATATTTTTTATCCTGGTACTATGGCACTAAGAAATGCAGGAAAGCTGTTGTTTAGGGATTCAACAAGCTGTAGAGCCAAGAAAAACATGTGATGACTTTTGAACAAAAAATTCAGCTTATAAAGGAAGTTGAAACTAGAATTCCTAGAAGTGTTGTGTGTACCAAGTACAAAGTTAGTAAAACCACTCTGTGAAATATTGACGGCTAAAGATAAGATTTTTGCAAGTCATGCTAAAAGTGAGAGTGATGAAGCAATGCACAATAGAAAAATTGTTAGTAGTGCACATGTTAAGTGTTGAAGAGGCTGTCTGGGAATGGTACTGGAAGACACATGACAAAGAATCTAGTGCCAGGATGGCTTATTAGGGAAACAGCCAAGCATTTTCACCAACAAATGAAGCTTCATAATAACTGTGCATACAGTGATGGGCGGCTAAGGGGCTTTAAGGTTCGTCATGGAATTAGGCATTTGAAATTGCGAGATGAAAAACAATCTGCTGATGCAAAAGGTGCAGAGAAATGTGTGTCAAAATTTCAGATCGTGCAGGATGATTCTTTATCTCCCAAGCAAATTTATAACGCCGACGAAATAAGCTTGTATTGGTGCACGTTAGATGATTGTACATTCACTCATCAGGATGAAAGAGGTTGTTCAACTAGGTTCAAGACAAATAAAGAACGGCTCTCTTTACTTGTTTGTGCAAATGCAGCTGGCACACTCAAATTAAGTCATTTTGTACCCGAAATGAAAAACCATTTTAAGAGCATTGGTTTACTAGAGAACAACAAAGTAGTGCTCTTTCTTGATAATAGCTCAACACATCCATATGAAGATGAGCTAGTTAAGGGCAATACTGTATGTTTGGAATATTTTTGCCACCCAACATAACTTCCTTGATACAACCCATGGACCAAGGAATAATTTCGAACCTCAAGCTCCACTACAGAAATGAGTTCGCAAGACAACTCAATGCAAAGACGGGTATCGTCAAGGACTTTATGAGAAAACATTTACTATAAAGTCAGCTGTGTGGTGTATTTCACATGCATGGAAAATGGTCAAGCAATCAACCATGAATCATGCCCCAAACATACCTTGGCCTGCAGCTGGTTTGTTTCCTGACAACGACAACGACAATGCTGCCAGTTTTGAAGGATTTGGTGGAAGGAAAATCAACGAGATGATGAAATTAAGACAATAACTCCTTGCCTATGTTAAAGGAATAAATGAACAGTCCTGACATATGAGAAATGAACTGATCACAGCCAATCTTGAGGAAGAAGTGGATGCATGGATTGAGTGTGATAGAGATGTTCCTACTGCACCAAGCATGTCTGATGATGATATCATTAATTTGGTAACAGAAAATAGCTGGGTAAATTTGCAGGATTCAGAAGATTCGTCAGAGGTGGAGAAGAGCTTTGAAACCATTTTAAAGTTCATGGAGAGAAGATCTGATGACACTCCTCAGAGTCTGATGGCATTTTATAGATTTTATACAGTTTTCAAAATTGCAGAGGTGGCTTGAGGCAATTAACACTCAAATTTTTTAGAGAGCTTCCAAGAAAGCGCAAACTTATGCCTCTTATGTTCCTTGTGTGTGTAACCCTCAACATCTACCTCCACCCTTAGTTAACACCATACTCACCTATCCATCATTCCAAGATCAAATGTGGAGAAACATCTGGACACTTGGTAAACACCTATATTTATTGTTTGTACTGTTACTGTACTGTACCAATATTTTGTGGTATTTTGTTTGAAGTCCTGTATCTAGTGAAACAATAATGTATTCCTACGTACTTTTGTTAATAAAATTATTATTTTAGAATTAGTGCAGATTTGAGAGCACATTTAGTTTGGCAAGATCTACGGCTAGGTTACAAAACACTAAACACCAGATGGCATACCTTGCTAAGTGTGGTTTTCTCTGCAGGCTGCGACTGCATTATTTCAACGCCATCAACTTGATCATCTAATAGGAACGGCGCTACGAAGCTAAATCCCTTGAACATCTGGTGAGCATTGGCACTTGGGGGAACACCTGGAGAATCTGCAAGTGACCTTACATATTAGAACATGCCAAACTTAACCCTTAAAATGCTAAGCTATTTAAATGTCCAAAATTAGGTGCACATGAAAAAGTATTGAAAACTCAAAGATTAATCTCTTGCGGAGATTTGAGCACAAGAGGAAATTGCAGATAGTGATTGGGCCATGTAAGGGTTAAAGAATATAGTAACAGAGATCGTGCAGAGTATTTATCGTAACCTTATATCAACATTGTCATGTTGCTTTAAAAAACTTGTATCAATACTGTTTAAAAACTGCCATGATACTGTACTGATATATAATAATTCAATACACACAGAAAACACAATAGCATGATATATCAAATGAAATAATCCACAAGGGCCGTGACGAGGGTTCGAACCTACGTCCGGGATGATCCCAGACACGCCTTAGTCGACTGTGCCACGACATGGTAAAAAAAATTGCAACCTGGAGTGCTACGTGTCCTCATGATTTGTTCAATAATTCAATAACTTTTTACAGTTATTTCCATGCATATCTTACAATTTGATCAAAGTTTGTGGTAAATTTTGGCCACTGGAAAAATATCTGCAGCACATCAATCTATCTATAATAATGCACACCAAATCAAAGGCCCTATCAGTACTGTTTTATAATGCTTTTCCTTTAGAAAGGGCAAAAAGCAGACAGAGAAGGTGGAACAACTATGGGAAAGGAAGTGTCAGAGAAAGAATTGTATACAGATCCAACAAGCTATAATGTAGTCCTGATGCAAATAAGGAGAAAAGGAAAGAAACCATCTACCAAAAACACAGTAATATATTAAGACCATCATATTCATCCTCTTGGTAACTGCTGCAAACACCAACACAAGGGTACTCTGAATACATTATAATCACTGCATACGATGACCCAGCATCAAACTAACCTCTAGGAGTTCGTGTGGTAAATTCTTGATCAAAGTAGAAAGTATCATCAGCTTTGGAAACTGCAGGCTTAAAAGGTGGTTCAATTTCCTTATTATAGAGCTTGTTCCAGTCAATACAGGCAAAGAATGGGTGACGCTTTAGTTCATCTACTCCTTCTGGACCTGGAGAATTCCAAATAATACAATTACAATACGTACAATGTATGCACTTAAATGGTGCACATGTTTACAACTGAAACAACTTGATTTACATGTTACGAGAAAGAACTAAATAAAGTTAAAACTATTTGGAGATTTGTGTTTTTCGAGAACATTTCTACCCCAATATCCCATTACAGTGGTGTAAAGGCATTTTCCAGTAGAGGATTGACAAGTATTACAGGACAAATTCAAATTTCCCATTAATGAATCCCTCTAAATAACTACCCCAAATCCATCCAAACTTTAGATTTCTAAAAAAAAAAAAAAAAAGTTTTCCATAGAGGGGAATGCAATTAAAACTGAATCATCCTTTCATTACATTTAGAAATTTCCATCAAATGTTTAATATTGTTTTTTTTTATTTTTTCTAATTCTGTTTTCTTTGTAAATATTACTCAAAATTAAATAGAAAGCAGCGACAAAGGCAAGTGACATTAAAGAATTTAAACTTTCTAAGAATGAGGATATAGACGACTCCAGCAGCACTGCAGTCTGGAGCCACCCTTGGTGACGAATAGCCAGGCAAGCCTTAGGAGCTGTGGGGCCCAACTGGGAACATTTTTGGTGGGGCTCCACAATCACAGCCAAGGTCTGTTCTAGTAAAGTGATTTATTCAAAATATTATATCTTTTTGGTTTAGAAAACATTAAAAATGTAAGTGAACAGCATTGTTGGAAACAAATCATCTCTTTTTAGATTTCTAAAACCTTGTTATAAAAATGTTAACATTCTTGTGGCATTCATCACTGAATGTCTCAAAAACAAAACATACTGTACTTGATGTCTGCCTCATATTTGTATTCTATCATGAAGCATTCAACAGACAAACATTGGTTTGCAAGTTCACGTTGGTTTATGAATGGCCTTTACTGGTTTGGCTCTGTTAGACAGCAGTTTTGTTTGACAAGACTGGAGTAGATTACCCTAGAATGGGGCCCAGTTGGGAGCAATTGGTCCAACTGGGTTAAAGCTGGCCCTAGTGAACAGTTAGAGAGACTAGCAAGACTATGTGTAATCACCCAAGTGTAGTTACAGGATGAGGGCTAAACTCGTGGTGTCCCATTTTCCCAGTATTCTTTGTCATATAATGCCTTGAAACTACTGACGGTTTTAACATCCATTACCTTCTCACTTATCTTGGTCCAACCGCCTACCACTCTTTTGCAAAATTGAACTAATGTTTTTTTAGTAGCTTTGCTTCCTTGGCTTAAATTTATGACCTTCTTCTTGAAGTTCCTGGTTTGAAGAATCCTTCTTTGATAATTTTGTTGATATCCATTATTATTTTGTATGTAGTGATCACATTCCTTGTTTTTCTTCTATCTACTAGCTTTGGCACAATGAACACCTCTAACCTTCCCTCATAGCTCATGTTTTTCAATTCCAAAAGCAATTTAGTGGTATGTCTTTGTGCCTTTTTCAGTTTGTTGATGTGCTTCTTGAAGTATAAGTACTATACTGCTACATATTCCAATTTTAGTCTCACAAAGGTCATGAATAATTTGTTCAATATTTTGCCATCCATATACAGTATTTAAATGCAATTCTGAAGTTAGAAAGCATAGCATAGGCTCCTTGCACAATGTTCTTTATATGATCCTCATTTGACAGTTTTATATCCAGAACCACCCCTAGAACTCTTTCTTAATCAGAGTTATCAGAATTCTTAAAAGTCTTTCCACATAACTTGTAAGTTGTGTGTGGCTCATTTTCTCCTATGCAACATTCCATAACGTGGAATTTATTCACATTAAATTCCATCTGCCAAGTGTTGCTCCATACACTTATTTTAACCAGGTCACCATGAAGGGCATGACAATCATCTAAGCTTCTTATCTTTTCTAGCAGCGTAGCACCATCAACAAACATGTTCATACAAGTACGTACTCCTTCTGGTAGATCATTCATTTAGATGATAAACATTACTGGTGCAAGAACTGAACCCTGTGGTACTTTACTAGTAACATTACTCTAGTATGATTACAATCATACTACTGATTACTATAATTTTTCTAACTTAGAAAAGTTTCTATCCACATCAGAAGTCTTCATGTCACCCCTCCAGTATGTTCCAATTTCCAGAACAACCTCTTATGTGGGACTGTCAAAATTCTTTATTTTTTTGGGTTCAGATAAATACAGTCAACCTAGCAATCTTTTTCCTCTAAAATCTCTGTGGTTCTATCATAGAAACAAAGTAGATTTACTACACATGATCTTCCCATTTGACAGGCTATACTGTCTTATTACTGTATCATTTTGCGCCAGGTGTTCTGCCCATTTAGTTTTAATAAACTTTTCTAGCGTTTTGATTACCATGCTAGTCAGTGAATCAAGCCTAGAATTGAGAGGATTTTCTCTACCATTATCTTTGTAGATGAACTATGTTTGCCTCTTTTTACACATATCTGCCAAGATTCCTGTTTATAAAGATGCTAGAACAATCAATTGAAGTAGATTGCTCAGCTCAGATGTGCATTCTTTCAGAACCCATGGTGAAATTCCATCTGGGCCAACCAAATTTTGCATTAACACATTTTGGAACTATTAATTTAGTATTTTACACATTTCCTTTTCATCCTCTCTAAATCTGTTCCCCATTTTTGACCTCTGGATTTTATCCTTCACCTGCAATCTGCTTTTAATAAATTTACATAATAGGACTGGTTCCGTTTTATATTTGTCCGGTATAGGGAGCCGGTCGGCCGAGCGGACAGCACGCTGGACTTGTGATCCTGTGGTCCTGGGTTCGATCCCAGGCACCGGCGAGAAACAATGGGCAGAGTTTCTTTCACCCTATGCCCCTGTTACCTAGCAGTAAAATAGGTACCTGGGTGTTAGTCAGCTGTCACGGGCTACTTCCTGGGGGTGGAGGCCTGGTCAAGGACCGGGCCGCGGGGACACTAAAAAGCCCCGAAATCATCTCAAGATAAGGTATCCCTTTCTTAAAATGTATTTCTGCCTTTCTTCTTACTTTTGTGTAGATGTTTCCCGCTTCTCTGTATTGCTGGTATATTTGAGGCTTAGGCCTCTTCCTACACTGATTTCATTTTTTGTAGTTTGTTCTCTGGTTCTCTTGCAATTTCTGTTGAAAATCTTGTTTTCTTGTTCTACATCTGTCTTGTATAACCTGGATCTGGATTGTATCAGGGAGTTCTTCTACTCCCCAAGCCCGGCCCAGGGCAAGGTTCCACTTGTGAGAGCTTGCTTCAATAAGGTGTTGCTTGGAGCGGCCCGCATATCCACTACAGCCCGTTCCGTCTGGGACTTCTCGAAGACAACTATCCAGTTTTCTCTTGAAGATGTCCACTTTTGTTTTGGCAATATTTCTTATACTCCATGTGAGGATGTTGAACAACCGTGGACCTCTGATGTTCTTTAATACAATTCATGCTAAATACACAGTACCAGTATTTAGCATGACATTTTTTTCAGTTTCATTTTCCTCCACACTCAATAACATCACTGAAAAAACATCCCACTGACTTACAAGAAAATATCACTGGGTGTTTTCAATATTCCTTGATGCCCTACTACATAACATACAATATTCCTTGATACTGTACTGTACTCCAAGTGATAAATTCTGGTAAATAATTGAAAATAACAAAACAGCTAGAGGTTTCTGGCAACCAAAAAATCTTGTTCAATCAACCATTAGGCAGTGAATTCATACATCTTGCGATAATACACAGAGTTACACTGATTCAATATTTACTATTACTATTTCCAAAAAAGTAGATGCTTGGGTATAATTTTAACATTTTGTGTTATGCCATTATACAAATGATCACTATACATAAAAATCTCACATACCTGCACCTAATCTGTTTGCTGGGTTCCTCTTGAAGAGCGCCCGGAGGAGAGACTGTGCCTCAGGGCTCAGGTACGGTGGCATTCCTAATTTAGCTTTTAGAATTAATGTCATAGTTTCTTTCCTGTTTGAACCTTGGAATGGTAATGCTCCCGTCAACATTTCAAACTGGAAAAAATAAATAATTTAAAAATTTATTTCTTAGATTTACATACTGTATATAATGATATATGTATATACTCTACATAGTATATATGTATGAATGTATGTATGCATGTGTGTATGTATGTTCACACACTTTAAAAAAAAAATAGATCAGTATATGGGGTAGTGACCTGGATATGTACCATCCACATAGGGTTAGAAGTTAAAAAAAACCTTACAGCTTAAACATATTTCAGCATTAATGATATTTTCCATAAGCCAGTGATAATGAAACTTTATGTAGTGATACTAAATGCTCACCAAAAGAACACCAAATGACCACCAATCGGCGGCTGTGTTGTGGCCCCTGCGGTTAACAACCTCTGGTGCCATATATTCCACAGTGCCACAGAAACTATACGCCTTCTGATCATCTAGCGCCTCCTTACATAAACCGAAGTCTGTGAGGGATATGTGGCCATCCGCATCTAAAAGTATGCTGCAAAATGAACACAAAATGACATTCAAACACTTGGTAAGATTAGTACTGTAGTATAAAACATCAAAATCTATAATGTGAATTTTAATAACAAAAGATCCAATACAGTACTGTATTGTATGTGGCACAATCTGAAAACCATACACCAATATTACAATGAACCAAATTATTATTACAGTAATTAACAGTATTAAAAAGATATCCATGAAACTTACTTTTCAGGTTTAAGATCTCTGTAGATAACACCAACAGAATGAAGATGATCTAATGCTAAAGCTAACTCTGCTAAATAAAATTTAACGTCCTCTTCTGTGAACATGATCTGTAAAAAAAATTAAAAAAATGATCATGATAGTCAACCTCCAGCATCTTCAACTGACACAAAAATACCACACACACATAAATGAAGGTATAAAACAATTTGCTGACAATATTGCACTGTTGCACGAGACCATCTTAATGCAAAGATCACTGTCGCTAGATAAAACACCTCTGCACAAGAAGCTGAGAAACTAGGTCTGGATGACATGGGACAGTAACTATTCAAAGGACTAAATAATGTACCGCCTGTCCACGTTGAATTACGCACGTCAAATCCGGTACTTTATAATACACAACATTGAGTTTAAGATGCCTAGATCTGTTTTACATTTGTCCACAACCACTTTAAGAAAGTTCATTTCTGCTTTTCTCCTCACTGCTGTGTATTTGTTTCTTACTGGTTTATAGTGCTGGTATGTTTGAGGATTAGACCTCTTCCTACAATGTACACGTTTCCTTGTCTTTTCCTCTCTGGCCCTCTCACAATTTCTGTTGGACCAATCCTGTTCTCTGGTTCTGTATCTCTGTTGGTGGGGTAGGGGGGGGGGGGGGGGTTAGTGGTGGGGGTTGATGGAGGTGCTTAGTGGTGGTTGGTGGAGGTGGTTGGTGGTGGTGGATAGTGGTGGTAAAGTGAGGCTGGGGATTGGTAAGAGATTAGATTATACAGTATAAGGTATTAGTGGAAGAGGACCAGTGAGGTTCATAAAGCCTTATTTGATATCTCTATACTGTGCATGTACTGTGTACCTAATAATACTGTACTTGTACTGTGTACCTAATACATCATGTCACTATCTGTTCAGACTTAAATAAGGTCAGTAATACAACTAAGTACAGTACACCCATCCTAAAAGTCAGATTCTGACAGCTTTCAGAAGTTAAAGTATTGCAATTACTGACTGAAGGAATCTGGGAAAATTCTGTTTTAAATTATTAGGGTTATGATATGGTACTATACCATTCATAATGGTACCTATGGTACCATTTACAACTGAGACTACTGGGAGTATCTGTGACATTAGGTCATGGCTACAAAACATTTGGTGTAACTACATTCTAAGTTCTACTACAAGAATCTAAATGGCTTAAAACAAACGAGATGTCCCTTGAACAACCATACTTAAGTTTTGAAAGTTTTAACCGATACATAGATGCACTTCCCTGATATCAGACATACAACAAAATTATTCTGGAAAGCAAAAAACTAATTTATAAAGTATAATATAAAAAGATTGCATATAGTCCTGGGGACCATTCAGGCTTGTTCGCATAAAGTATAAATGTATCCCTATCAAGGATTCTTATTAGATATATCTGACAACACAATGTTAGTACTGTATATAAATTTTTTTTACAACATTTAAATAAAAAATGTAATGAATTTTATAGTAAATTTACTCTTACCTCTTTCGATAGTCTGGTGAAAAGATCGCCGCCTCTCAAAAAATCTAAGATTAAGTAGAGTTTTCCCTCTGTTTGGAAGGCATAATGCAGCTTCACTACAAATGGATGATTGACATCGGCTAGAATATCACGCTCCATTTTGGTCCGCACTCTGTCACGCACTGTAAGGTTAGGTAATCGTCAGGTGAATGTGCCAAGCAGTATAATTATATAACACATGTAGGGGATATATATAGACAGAATAGTAGGACAGAGTGAAGGAACTGTGGTTAACCATTTAGAACATTGGGGATTGAACGCCGATTGAGAAAATATAAATGTCATCACCGCATAGACCAATTCAAGTGAATGGTGTCACACTGCAATCTGACGGAATTATTATCAATCAATATTTGAAACAAATTATAATCTACAAGCAACTGTATGAATACAAAAAGTACAAGAGATACTAATAAAATATAGTTTATGTATTATTAAAGGATAATTTAACATTAAGATACGAAAATAACTTATTCTCTTGTTATTTTACGAGAATGTGGATATTGTAAATATCAAATACAGTAAAAACATTAGTTTGATTATAATTTAGTCTATCAAAGTATTAATTATAATTTTAAACTTTTTGTTTACATGAATTCAAGTGTTTTAATAAGAGCCAAACTTAAACTTTATTGCTTATAATCTTCAGACAGCTATTACTAATCTCAATCTGCACTTATTAGACACACAGGACCAGTGAATATGATCGAAGTTCTCGAGTGTCTTGGGGGCATAAATACGAGGAATATGAACAATGTTCTCACATTATCAGAACAGGTTAGAACCCGAAACAATGTGGACAAGAGAAAGCGAGCTCATTTTAGGAGGAATAATGAGGGATGAGTAGAAAGGGCATCCTCTAGTTATTACCGAGTCAAACAGTTTAGCACGTTTTAACATTGGATTGGATAAGTCTATGCGTAAGAGGGATGGATTTAAACAGGCCTAGCCTGGTATGGGCCAACAGGACTGCTTTAGTGCTCTCTAATTTTTATGTATCCATTGTAGTTCAGACTAGACCCCACTTGTTACAGCCAGAAATGTGGATAACATAGTTTTGCATTTGTTGCAACTTTTGGACACCCAAATGTTTTTTAATAATTTAAATAAAAGAATGTATGTGTGTGTGTGTGTGTGTATGATGACCAAATACTATTGAAAAGTAAATTTTTAATACTGTACATAATACAACTTTATTTAAATATTTTTAATGGTGAACACATATCTAGAATAACACGGCCATGATTTTATACAGTAGTTTATACAGACAATCCAAATAAATGAGGTAGGAATTACCATCACTACTACTTAATCAGAATTTGTCTGTTCCAATTGCGCCTCTTTATAATAGGGGGCTAAATAATCCAAGATCAACATGGCTGCAAATCTGGAATACTGTACCCCACCCCACCCCCCTTTTTCAAGCAATATTAGGCTTACAAGTGGTCTCTCTAGCCAACGACTGACCCATACCAGAATGGAACCTATGTAATCGACTAATTCCCAGATACAGTACCTATTTAAAGTCCAGTGAACAGAGGTTGTAAGGTAAGGTGCTAAAATGTTTCACCCTGCCCTGGAATCAAACCTGGGACTAATTGACTATAGGCTGACCACACTAGTCACTAAATGGATGAGAGAAATGCAAGGGCTGTATACAAAGACTAAACATACCCTTGAGTGTGGCCTTCTTGAGCACCTTCATGGCATATAAAGTACCAGTGTCCTGCCCACTTATCTTTCGCACCAGAAAAACCTGTGGAAAAAATATTTATCGAACATTTAACAGCAACCCAAAGAAGCTCCAGAGTAACATTAAAAGGTGATAACTGCAGCTAGTGATAGTCAATGAATTCTCATCTTAGATTTGTAAAATGTAGTTTTATACTAATTTTAGCAGGAAATATTAGATTACCTACTTAATAAATCAGTAAAGAATATAAACAAGTACATATTTAAATTTAGTAAAATCCACTTTCTTAAAAGGAATTTAATATCATTAATGACATTGAGGCAAGTGTCAGATTATGCAGCATCATTTATACCTTGGAAACAAAATTGATACAACATTTAGTGTTCCCATAGCAAGCTTGCATACAAATTGTGCCGGGAAGAGGAGGGTGTTGCTACAGTACTGTACTTCATATCTAATAAAAAAAAGGGACAATATTTCCATTAATTTATTGAAACACAAAACATACTTAAGTAGGATGAAAATGCTGAGGTCGTTCAATAGGATGGAAACCACATACATGAACTCCCCGAGTACATACGAACGTACGTACACACGCACTACCAAATAAACCATGATGGCCATGTCCCTGGGGAGTCCAGGGACACACATTGATTCCCAATGAACTGCCTTAATATTTTCTCACAGATACAACACGTTCTTGTGATTACATTGTGCACATTTTAGCTTTATCATGAGTGTCTTTACTGTTCAAAATATTTAGTACAAGTTTCCCCGGAGTCGCCCAAATGAATATAGACTTACCTTGCCGAAGGATCCTTGACCAAGGACCTTGAGGAGCTCAAACTGGCTTGGGTCCGCCTTGTCATGACCTTCTGGCATAATCTCGCACACCTCAATCTCGTGAGTGCCATTGAATTCTCCATCTGCCTCCTGTAGAGGAAACAAAATAACATCAGTACAATACATATTTACTACAAAATTAAATGTTGATAAGGATTACTTTTTCATGTGTTAATAAATTAGTTCACAAATTAATCTTAGGAAAGGAGATTACACATTTTAAAATAATGTACATTCAAAACACATAAATACCACCTTCCTAATCTTTCCCCAGTCCCCCCCCCCCCCCCCTCCCTCACTATTCCACTTCATCCTGCCCTCCACTCTTACACACCCTCACTCACCCCCCCCCCCCCCTCCACTCACTTCAACCTAACCCTCCCCTTCACCCACCACTAAGGTTTTGTGAAATAAATAAAAAGTTGCTTCCAGTGTTATGTACGTACCAACTCTTAACTTTGGAACTATCAAACACGTCTGTCTGTTCACTATAAACAAAATTTTGTAAATGAAACAGATCACCTCCAGACCTGCTCCATGCACAGCTCTTAACATTGTGCAGACTCATTAGAGGCGTTGATGCCAATGCAAATATCACCGATAAAGCACATTACAACACTCCCAAACAACACATTACAACATTCACAATCAACATACAGCAACATTCCCAATCATCAACACTGCAATAACTCAAGGCAGGACAACACTAGTAATTTGAATAGTATGAGCATTGTGGTTGGAACCCTAGATTTGGAGGCTCTCGTAATCCATCCTATAATTTTTCTAGCCGATTATTTGCTTGGTCTTGCTCTCTAAATGTTCAGCCCATTCCCCTAAGGTTTCCCAACGTCCAGAGAACGGCCAATTTAAATTGTCCTCTCCTAACCTACCAGAGGACCCAAAACAGAAAACGGGACAGTGTGTCACTTTTGCCAACAGCTGCCATTTTCAAGTACGACCATTTTTGGCCTTATGTAATGCATACAGTGGCGCCTCGATTAAGGAATTTAATTTGTTCCGGCACAGAGCTCGTCATGTGGAAAACTCGTCTTGCGAAACAACAACAAAACTGTCGTAAAAGGTGTCCGAGAACCAGCGGGAACGCTCGTTAATCGAGGAAAAGCTCGTCATTCGAGACAAATGTTCTGCGAGTGGCTTACTCAATACTCGAAATGCTCGTTACTGGAGCCGCTCGTCACTCGAGGTTCCACTGTACGTGCAAAATGCAACGTACAGTACTTTGTGGAGGACACATTCAAATGTTAGGGCGTTATATATGATTATTCCCAGATCCTTTACATACTGCTTTCCTACTATGTGCAGATCTGACTCTTGAACCCTGTATTTCAGCTAAGTTTTTAAGTTTTGACATACCATAGTACCTGGAATTTATCACTATTAAACATGTTATTTTCCAGTGCCCAATTAAACATTTAATCAATATGAGCTTGTACAGTACCATGATGCTGATCACATTTTATATGCTATCACGCCATGATCACATTTATCAAATGCATTTGAAAACTTGGTGTAGACACCTTCCGCATTTTGCTTTTCTTCCAATGCTTCCCTGATTGGAGGCCTGATTCCAATCATATGCTACCATGATTGTGTCATAGTGGTTGAGTAATTGCAAAAGGCATTTCCTTCCTGCTCAAAATCCATGCTGACCTGGGTTATGATGGTCATTGGTCTCCATAAAACTGGAGATCTGACTCATAACTCTTTCAAAACGTTTATTGTGTGCGATGCTAGTGCAACTGGCCAATAATTTTTAACCAAGCTTTGCTCCCTTTCTGGTGTAGGGCGCTAGAGCTTCTGTTATCTCTTCTGTATCCTAGCAATTTCTCCAGATGACAGCGAGCGCTCGTGCTGCGAGAGCGATACATAATAGCCTTACACTTGAGAAATATTAGAGGGATTGGTTCCATATCTGGACATGGGAATAACCACATCATGTGCAAGATAGCTCTATTGAAATGCAAAGGCGGGATGGACCCGATGAGAGAGAAGTCTATCAATATCAAGGGCCCAAGACTGTTCAACACTCCCACTACACATAAGAGGCATAACTGGCCCACCTCTCGCAGTGTTTGAAAGAGAACTCGACAAATACCTCCAAAGGATACCTGATCAACCAGGCTGTGATTCATACGTCAAGTTGCGAGCATACCTGGAGAGGGTTTCCCGAGTTCTACTCCATGTGCCCGGCCTGGGCTTGTGATAACTTGGCCCAACAGGCTGTTGCTTGACCCATAAATCCACTACAACCCGGTTGGTCAGGCACGTCTAACAAAAACTTGTGTAAGTGGATCTTAAACACATCCACCTTTGTTCCGGCAATATTTCTAATGCTGACTGGGAGGGTATTGAACAGCCGTGGACCCCTGATGTTAAGACAGTATTCTCTGATTAGGCCTATGGCACTTCTACTTCTCTCTTGCTGTGTTTCCTTCCATACCTTTCACCCAGTAAGTTGTTATTCTACTTCGCAAATTTGGGACCTGGCCTTCCAGTATCTTCCATGTATATATTGATACCTTTCTCGCCTCCTTTCCAGAAAGTACATTTTAAGAGCTTTTAGACGGTCCCAATAATTTAGTTGTTTTATCAGGGCGTTTATTGTTTTGCAATAAAACAAGTAAATATTTGTTTTATTTACAAATTATGTTTATAATTTTGTTGTTTATTAATAACAACTATGTCTATGTTTTACAAGACATAGTTGTTGTCTATGTTTTATCATAACATAGAACGAAAAGGCAATGTAAAGGATTTGGGTGTACTCATGTCGAAGACCTTACCTTTAAAAACACAATACAGTAGCCGTCACAACTGCAAGAAAAATGACAGGTTGGATAACAAGAACCTTTCACACTAGAGATGCTATACCGATGATGATACTTTTCAAGACGCTAGTGCTCTCTAGAGTGGAGTACTGCTGCACAATGACAGCCCCTTTCAAAGCTGGATAAATTGCTGACCTGGAGAGCGTGCAGAGATCCTTTACTGCTAGAATCCACTCATAAAAACATCTAAACTACTGGGACCGACTAAAGATCCTAAATCTGTATTCTCTTGAGCGCAGGCAGGAGACACACATAATACACACAGAAATCACAATAGCATGATGCATCAAATGCACAAATCCACACGGGCCGATTAAGGCTCAGTCGATTAAAGCAGTAATCTGGGATGCTCTCGGACGTTGGTTCGAATCCTCGTCACGGCCCTTGTGGATTTGTTCAGATATATAATAATTTACAAGTGGAAAATAGTAGAGGCTGGTCCCAAACCTGCACAGAAATAACATCACATGAGACCAGGAGGCATGGCAGGATGTGCAGAATACCCCCGTTGAAGAGCAGAGGTGCCACAGGTACTCTGAGAGAGAACTATCAACATCAGAGGCCCGAGACTGTTCAACACGCTTCCACTACACATAAGGGACTTAACTGGGCGACCCCTCAGTGTTCAAGAGAGAAACTCCAAAGGATACCCGATCAACTAAGCTGTGACTCGTACGTCAGGCTGCGAGCAGCCGCATCCAACAGCCTGGCTGACCAGTCCAGCAACAAGGAGGCACAGTCAATGACCGGGTTGCGGAGTCTGTTACGAACCCGGATCCAGCGTCCGAGCCTGGAGCAGTGACAACCACGCCATCTGTGGGTCAGCTCCCGAAACCCCCGCCAAACGGACGACGACACCTAGTGAGGACAGCGTGTACTGGCCTCGAGGACCAGTTTCCAGTCTGGTTCAGCGCTCAACACCGCCGCTCCTGACCTCTGGTGAGGTGGTGCTCCGACGACAGCGCCATCTATGGACTGGATACGTCAGGTGTTTGTGTCTGAGGCTGTAAGTGTGGTGTTTTAGTGTCCCTGTTATTGATGACGTGTCTGCTTACAGAGCCGACCTGGGACCACTGTGTTGAAGGTGGAGTCAGTCTACCCGAGGCAGCCAGTCTCCATACTGTGAAGTTTGCTGCAGCTGTTGTGACGTCGTCCCCCCGGAAGAACACTGTGGTGTGTTAAGCCTGCCAATGGAGTGGCAGTGAAAGGATTTACCCGGGACCGACGGTTGGAGACGATAATCCACTGGGGTATTGAGGACAGGAGGGTGATTGGTGATATCACACGAGACTCCTGTCTAGGGCGTACCCCTTTTATCGTTCGTGGAGTGGCCGTACCAGCCTTGGTGGCTCAGTACCTGCCAGCAGACCTGCTGGACGTGTGGTTGACGGCCTCCACGACGGTGCCCCCAGTGGACCTGTGTTGTGGCTGACCTGTGGCCAGGGTAGGCTCGGCGTTCTCAGAGGACACGTCTTGAGGCCACGAAGAAAGCACCGCGGACTCGGCACCTAGCTTCTTGATCAAGAGTCTTCAGCAGAAGACTAGATTGTGCACGATCCCCTTTGCAAAGTGTTAATACCCCCCCCCTTTGTGTACTCTTTTATTATATATATTGAAACGGTGATGGTGAACATTATATTATATTAAGTTCTTAGCTTTCTTTCCCTACTCCCTTTAAGTTACTTGCGTCACGGATCACATCCCTTGAAAGCCTCTACTGGCTTGGGAACGGATACATATATCTTCCTCTAACAACATCAGAGCAAGAACCCCGTTGCGTCCCGAGAGGGCCGTAACAGAGTCGCTGAGCCCCAAAATCATCTCGAGGTATCCTCAAGGTAAGGTAACCGTACATGTTGTCTGTATTCCCTCTAATTCAAGTCTCTCTCCTGCTGTGAAAGGGGAAGCGTGTACCGAGCAGTACTCAAGACGGGTCAGCACCAGTGATTTAAACCGTATTAGCATTGCTAATACCGCCATCGCCGCCTCCAACAGCCTGGTTGACCAGACTACCAACCAGGAGGTCTGGTCAGAGATCGAGCCATGAGGACGTTGATCCTGTGAACCGTCCCATGGTAACCGCAAGGTTAGCTATGACCCCCCGAGAGCCTCACTCACCCCAGCTATAGTGTCCGTGTTTACAATTCTCCATATTAGATGTTGCAGGTCAAAACACGATAATAACTGGTATTGAGTTTGCCAGATTAAAATAACTAGTTATATTTTATCTTTTACTCCTAG